GTAGCGGGGATCTGGGTGAACAAATGATCCAAAAATCACCAAGATCCATTTGGTAGTTTGGATCACCACCGCAGTGAGGTTTTGACTGGTCTGCCACAAGGTTGAAGCCCAAAATAGTTCCAGTGAAGTTGTGGCAAGAGCCAGTCTCTGTTCGTGGGGTTTTGCATGAAAACCACACAAGTTAGACAAAAGCAGATAAGTGGAGAATGCTCCCTGTGTGAACGCCGTTCGTATATGTGTATGGTAATAGGAACGGGTAGCAGGTCCATGATGCCTGAGGTTCGCGGGAATGCCTGAACGAAATGAGTTCCAGGCACTCGACTACCAAGTCCCGCTGCCTGCGTTCGGGAGACAAAATGTCCGCCATCTATTGTCCCGAACACGTGCGTTCACATGCACAAAATGGCGGCCACCAGTGGAGCATTTCATTAATTTGTTCGTTGTGGTTTTCGTACAAGATACTTAACATTCCATGTTCTAATGGCTCTCTGAGGTGGTCTCAGTTCGGGAACCGAACAAAATAAACTAAATAAACTTGGGCACGAATCCTGGCAATGAAAAGGAGCCAAAAGTGATGGAGTATTCCTTTACACTGACCCTGTTATTTTAATCCTTTCTTTTTCTGAGGAAAGCCTGCACTTACAATCAACTGGAAATGCCAGATGGATACCTACTTCTTCCCAATTTCATTCACTCATAATTCCCTTTTTAATAAATAGCATCCAACCATGTGTTTCAACTGATCATGTGCTCTGTCTGTCTGTTATACTTTCTGTTTCTGCTTTTCTAATTGTATTTGTGTTATGTGAAAAATAAAGATTTGCTTTTTTTAGTGCGTGAATAAAGATGGCTTTGCTACTAGCTAGCTCCTCACAAACGTGCACAGGGGAGCAGTTATGACTCATGATTTAGGATATTTAGGTAAAGAAATTACAAAAAGAAAAAACTATTTATTTATTTTTAGAGCAATAAAAGGCACTATAATGACTTTGTTTAATCATTAATAATCACCAGTTAATCATTGTGCAGATTACATTTATTGAACAAAAATAAATAAATAATATTTTTTTTTTTAAATGTGTGTGTGTTCCATTTTTGCTTTATAATTAGTTACAGCTACAGCTACAACATATTTCATGTTAAATAAATTCAGGTGGTGTTCTGCATTAAAAAAAATCACACACATTTGGCTTACATTTTACATGTGATGATTGACTTATTATGACATCCATATCATCTTTCAAAACGAATATGTTATTTTCTTCTTTGTATGCTTGTAGAGATTTAAGTATATGTAAATACATGCAGCAGATTGTGTGTTTTTTTATAGACTGCAGGTGCTACATGAGAGAAGAAATGCAGGGCTATTTATTAAAAAAAACATACTGGAAAATTATTATTATTGTGATTTTTTTTCTAAGGCTGCCTGTTTTGAATAGAAAATCATGTTATAGACCTAATTAGCTCATTTAAAATACTGTTGCAAATGAACAATGCTAAATATATTTACAATTAGCTAAGTACCATTTGGGCTAAAGGTCTATTATGGAATATGGATATGTAATGATTCCAAAAAACTATTGGAGAACTATGGAGAGAGAAACATTGCTTATTTCCTTTCATTTAATATTTTCATATTACTTTATAATTCATTTCTTAATGACCAGTTGCATTTTGGGCCAACATGACTGACCTGTTCCATTTGCATTTGCAGCTCTACAAAGTCCTAATGTCAAATAGATTCCTTAAAGATCAGGTGTTTAAGACAGCACTGACCATTGTTGGTGCTTAAGAGCTAACAATTTAGATATCAGTTCGCCTGTTCTTAAATGTAGCTGTTATCAATTGCATATCTGTACTAAGTTGTTTGCATATGTCACGTGATGTAAAAATGTGGTTTTGATAGGAAAGGGTTCAACAACTAAAATATACAACAGACTTTACTCATACCTACTGAACTAAATTCTAAACGCAACACTTGTTTTTGCCCTCATTTTTCATGAGCTGAACTCAAAGATCTCAGACTTTTTCTATGTACACAAAAGGCCTATTTCCCTCAAAATATTGTTCACAAATCTGTCTCAATCTGTGTTAGTGAGCACCTCTCCTTTGCCGAGATAATCCATCCACCTCACAGGTATGGCATATCAAGATGCTGATTAGACAGCATGATTATTGCACAGGTGTGCCTTAGGCTGGCCACAATAAAAGACCACTCTAAAATGTGCAGTTTTATTACACAGCACAATGCCACAGATGTTGCAAGTTGCAAGAGGGAGGTGCTCAGACCTAAAGTTAATTTAATATTTCCGAGAAGTTGCTTCACAAATACTTTAGAATAAGACTGAGTTTCTTAAACAAGTGCTACACAATATTTAGTTGTTGTGGCATATCTACTATGTAATTATTTAGGAATTTACTAAATGTACTTAGATGAAAGCAGTCCAGTCAAATTCTAAATTTAGACAAAAAACATCCATTCTCTCAGAAAACGTACCGTCATATTTACTACTTTTAAAATGGAACTGTCACTTCTCTAGAATGTATCCCATTGAATAAAACTTAGAAAATCACCATCAAATTATTTATTTATTTATAAAATATTTTACCAGGAGAGATACCGTATTTTCCGGCATATAGACGACCCCCAACTTTTCCAGTTAAATATAGAGTTTGGGATATACTCGCCGTATAAGACTACCTCTCTTCCAACGCACACCAAATAAAAATTAGCCATGATGTACAGTGAGCAGACAGAGCTACACAGCAAGACATTAAATAATGATAATGTGAAATAGCATTTAAAGCCCAGGTATGTGCCAGGCTGTTTGGGCATATAATCCATGCCTGCTGGTCTAGCACACAGGAGGCTAATTGCGATATATGCACATACTGCCAATTCTTAACCCTTTATTCTGCTGTGACTACCGTATTTTAAACCTGGCTGGACTTGGCTACCTGGATTTGGGGAATTTATGGGGTGCATGGGGCAAACACTACCAAGGCTGGGCGAAATGGGGCAAACTGTACTCAGACTGGGGTGGCATGGGGCAGGTAACTGAATCTCCTGTACCGCGCGGTACCCGGCCGGACTGACAGGACGAAGAGGAGCTCGGCCACCCACGCTACATAGGGAAGGGGAAATGAGGAGAGAGGCAGTGCTGCAGCCGCCTGGGGCTCTCTATAGAGTGCTCAGGTGGCTGCAGCATTAGAAGGGCCGGCGATGGCGGCGCAGGGCGCCCCCTCCTATATGGCGCCCTAGGCAGCCATATAGATGACCCCCAACTTTTAGGAAACCCTATACCTGGCGTATAAGACGACCCCCGACTTTTGAGAAGATTTTCCAGGGTTAAAAAGTCGTCTTATATGCAGGAAAATACGGTACATTGAGATTTCTCTCGTTTTCAAGTATGTCCTGGGTCCACAAAACATTGCATTGATGCAATAGGGTACAATAAAATACAAAACCAATATTAATACACAATAAATACAAAATTTAACATAGAACAGGTAGGAAATATATAATCAACCATGACAGGTGGATTCTGTTTTGAGATATGTAGAGAGGGATCTCTTAAAGTATTTTAGGCTTGGGGAAGATTTGAAAGTGTGCGGGAGGTTGTTCCATAATTGCGGTGCTCTGTAGGAAAAGGAGAATCGAGCCACTTTCTTTTTGTATTGAGGTAGACTAAATTAAGTGCTGGTACTGGATCGAAGGTTATAGGAGGTGGGAACAGCCGTGGAGAGCATTCTGCTCAGGTAGGGTGGGAGCTTCACAGAAAAGCTCTTAAACACAAGGCTTGCAAGATGAAGGGTGCGTCTGGATTCCAGCAACAGCCAGTTTAGTTCTTTTAGCATGTCACAATGGTGGGTCTTGTAATTACATTGTAGCACAAATCGGCAGAATGAGTTATACAATGTATTACGTTTATTAAGGTGGGTTTGCGGTGCAGGTGCATACACTACATCCCCATAATCAATGATTGGCATCAGCATTTGCTGTACAATGTTTTCCTTTACTGTAAGGCTTAGGCAGGATTTGTTTCTGTACAGGGCAGCTGGTTTTGGATAAAGTTTAGATGCAAGTTTTTCTATGTGCGGGGCAAAAGATAGATTGGGGTTAGAGTTGAGCGGACACCGGGACGTTCGAGACCGGCGGGTTCGGCCGAACTTTGAAAAAACGTCCGGGTTCGGGCTCGAACTTGACCCCGAACCCGAACCCCATTGAAGTCAATGGGGGCCCGAACTTTGGCCACAAAAATGCCTCTAAAAAACTCCTGGAAAGAGCTAGAGAACTGCAAAAGCAAGTTAAATGGGGATAAGAGTAGGACAAGTGCCCTGCAAACAAATGTGGATAGGGAAATCACTTAAAATAACATAAAAATTAAAAATACAACTGAGCGATAAAATAGAACTAGATGGAATCTTTGATTTTAGCTTTGGAAGAACATAAATCAAAATCTAAAGCATGGCTGTCAGGAGGATCAACAGAATTATCCATTTGAGAGAGGATTGGAGTGCAGGGTATTCTCTTTCATTGTTCAAACTGAGCTCAACTCCTGATGCGTGGAGAAAAGGCCTTCACAAGCCTCTGCTATTGTGTACATAGTTTATACTAAGTGACCCATAGGTTGAGGAGGCGGTGACCGTTGCGATGTAGGTGGAAGCAGTGGTGGAGGAGGAGGATGAGGTAGCCAACATTGTTTTTTATATATATATTTTATAATTTAATTGTGGTAGCCCACAAAATATTGGGACATACAAAAAAAGAAACATTTGCGGCCTGCAGTGCATTTCTTGCAGTTCTGATTCATGGAGAAATGCTCAACTCCTGATGCATGGAGAAAAGGCCTTCACAAGCCTCTGCTAATGTATACCTAGTTTATACTAAGTGACCCATAGGTTGAGGAGGCGGGGACCGTGGCGGTGTAGGTAGAAGCAGTGGTGGAGGAGGAGGATGAGGTAGCCAACACTGTTTTTTATGTTTTGTTTTTTTTAAATTGTGGTAGCCCGCAAAATATTGGGACATATAAAAAAAGACAACTCTGTTCCACAGAGTAGCTGTTGACATTATAGTTGCGCAGGCACTTTGTTGACTCTAGAGAACCTCGGGCCAATCGCACATCCCCGTGGCGGCGACTTTACATGCAGACGTCATCCATATCAACTTTCGATGCCAGTTTCTGCGCCTGCCATGGAGAGCACGGGTAACGGGGAATCAGGGTTCCATTTCGTACAGGGACCCTGAGAAATGGCTACCACATGCAAGGAAGGCAGCAGGCACGCAAATGACCCACTCCTGACGCGGGAAGGTAGTGATGACAAATAACAATACAGGACTCTTTAGAGGCCCTGTAATTGTAATGAGTCCACTTGAAATCCTTTAACTGTCATCAATTGGAGGGAAGGCTGGTGCAGAGCCACTGACCCGTGCATGCTGCAGCTGAAACTCCACTATCGCCTGCTGCTGCTCGCACATTCTCATGAGGCGGTGAGCACGAAGGCCGAAGTTACGCTGCAGCGCAGACAGGCGAGCAGCAGCAGGGTGACAACGCCAAAAGCGCGCATAGCCGCTACAGTGAATGTCACATCCTGTTCCAAGTTGCGGATCAGTCTGGTGATGGCTTCTGGTATCCAGTACTCTTTTTACTGAAGCTGCATCAGGGTCCTGGTATGTGGCCGCACAAACGCAGGTGCTCAACACCAGGGGGCGTGCGGTTACCCTGCACCAGACCCTGCTAATCCATTCCACACTGTGACTCCTAACTTCAACATCAGGCATACTGTGTCCCGGTTGTTCGACTGCCGCCCAGACAGTGTCTGGGTCATGGTCACCGGACTGCCCACCTGACTGTTAAACTACGTATGGATCGTTAAATCTGGTACGAACCCGAACTTTGCATTTCGGGTTCGCTCAACTCTATTATGGATCCTTTGATCGCTTCATGTATTACTTGGATAACTGGTAATTCTCGAGCTAATACATGCCGACGAGCGCTAGGGGACGGCCGCTCCGCTTTTGCACCCTGCTCCCTCTTAAGCTGTGCTGGTGCATCTGTGCGACCAGCGCCTCTTCCTCCAAACTGCACACGTCACTCGCATGACCTTGATTCCATGTGGGGTCTAGGACCTCATCATCCTCCACATCATCTTCCACCCACTCCTCAACCCTGCCCTCCTTGCCGGTATGCACACTGCAGAAAGCCACAGCAGTTGGCACCTGTGTTTTTCCAGCACGTAAAGTCTGCAAAGGACATATGGAAATTGTTTTAGAATTGAATCCAGGCAACAGTTTTCACTATAAACTGACCTCTCAGTTTGACTTGTGAGGGTGTTGCCCCAGAATTACAATATTGTTTAAGTACCTCTTAGCTATTGATAACTGTTTTAAATATAGCAGCTTGTTATCTGGTAGTTTCTAGTGTAGAAAATATCAATCTGTTTTCTATCACTTAGATCCGTGTAACAAGTGTTGTAGGTGTAAAACAATATTACAAGTGACCGATGTAGTAAATTTGAATCAAAGTTACGCTTCGATTTGACTCTCAGATATGAAGTGAACACCCCAAATATACTATTTAGCACCCAAAAAAAAATTCACTTTTTAAAACTCCAATGTAAGCAGCAGATTAGCAGCAAAACAATTGGAATGTTTACAACTGCGCAGGAAGCGCACTATTTGACTCTCAGATATGAAGTGCACCGCAGGCCACAAATGTACTATTTAGCAGATTAGCAGCAAAACAATTAGAATATTTACAACTGCGCAGTAAGCGCACTATTAGACGCTTCTATTTGACTCTCAGATATGAAGAGCAGGCCACAAAATGTACTATTTCGCAGATTCACACCCAGAAAAGAAGAATGTTTACAATTGCTGTAAGCACACTATTAGACGCTTCGATTTGAGTCTCAGATATGAAGTGCACCCCACTAAAATACTATTTAGCAGTTTAGCACCTAAATAATTTTAAGTTTTAAAACTGCAATGTGACAGCAGTATTTGACGCTTCTATTTGACTTTCATATATGAAGTGCACCCCACTAATGTACTATTTAGCACCAAAAAAATTTGACATTTTAAAACTCTGATGTAACCGCGGTATTTGAAGCTTCTATTTGACTCTCAGATATGAAGTGCACCCCACCCCACTAATGTACTAGTTTGCAGAATTCTTTCCTAAGCTGTCCCTATCAGCGGCATCCTCCTCTTCCTACACTAATAAGACCGCATGTGCGTGCGGCGCTATGCGACTCCAGCTTATATATAGAGGCTGGATCACATGCTGCACTGGCCAATCACAGCCATGCAATTAGTAGGCATGGATGTGATGGCTTCTAAGGGCACACGAGTCAAACGCTTGTTGATTGGCTGCCCTGCAGCCTTTGAAAATGCGCCATTAAATCGCCGAACACCAAACTCCGGGTCTGGGGTCCAAAAAACCTAATGTTCGGTACGAACCCGAACTTTACAGTCCGGGTTCGCTCAACTCTAATTGGGGTCTAACAATATACCCAAGTATTTGAAAGAGTGTACTGCGGTCAGTGTACTATTTAATTTAGTTTTAATGCATAGATGTAAATTTTGTAATTTGTCTAATTTAGGTACTGTTCCAAAGATCATTATGACAGTTTTGTTTAGGAAGAGTTTGTTTTTTGCGATCCACATTTCTACTTCTGTGAACTGGTCTTGGAGCACAGGCTCAAGCTGCGGTAGATCGGATTTGCTGGCATTAGGCAGATCATTTATTAAAAAATATAAATAGTAGGTGGTCGAGAATGGAACCTTGGGGAACACCACACATGACTGGGAGAGGGAGTCGCTGTCAGAAACGGACACATATTGTGATCGATCTAACACATGTGATCAAAACCAGGTTAGCGGACGATCACCAATACCTGAGTTTTTGAGTGTGTGCAGTAGAATGTTGTGCTCTACTGTATCAAAGGCCTTTGCAAAATCAAGAAAAATAGCTCCAGTTAGGTCTCCTTGTTCCATGCTAGTTTGGATGTCATTGCAAACTTTTAAGTGGGCAGTTGTAGTGGAGTGATTCAGACGAAAACCTTATTGATCAGGGTTCAGATAGTTAGATTGTTGGTAATACTCACATAGTTGCGTATGGACACATTTTTCTAAGATTTTTGACAATACTGGGAGCAATGATATTGGGCGATAGTTAGAAACCAAAGTAATGTGACCACTTTTATGGATAGCCACTACTCTCGCAGTCTTCCAAAGTTTGGGTATGTATCCAGACACCAAGGATTCGTTAATTAGGGTTGTGACAGGTTTAGCAATTGCCGGCACACTAAGCTTCAACAGCATTGCTGGGATTTGATTAGGTCCAGACTGGTTTTTCATTTTTAGATTATTAAGGTTCAGACCAGTTCAGGCCAGTTCAGGCCAGTTCAGGCCAGGCACCGCCAGTGCAAACATTACAAGTGAAAAGGAAAAATAGAGACCTTACTTCAAATCTCCTCCTCTCTGTATGCTCTCTCTATACTGACTGACAGGTGTAAAGGGCGGAGCTTATAACAATGATTGACAGGGAGCTAAGATGGAGGTGGCTCTCTCTATACTGACTGCTAGGTGTAAAGGGCGGCGCTTATAACAATGATTGACAGGGAGCTAAGATGGAGGCGGCTCTCTCTATACTGCAAGGTGTAAAGGACGGCGCTTATAACAATGACTGACAGGGAGCTAAGATGGAGGTGGCTCTCTCTATACTGAATGCCAGGTGTAAAGGGTGGCGCTTATAACAATGATTGACAGGGAGCTAAGATGGAGGTGACTCTCTCTATACTGACTGCCAGGTGTAAAGGGCGGAGCTTATAACAATGATTGACAGGGAGCTAAGATGGAGGTGGCTCTTCTTTATACTGACTGCCAGGTGCAAAGGGCGGAGCTTATAACAATGATTGACAGGGAGCTAAGATGGAGGTGGCTCTTCTTTATACTGACTGCCAGGTGTAAAGGGTGGAGCTTATAACAATGATTGACAGGGAGCTAAGATGGAGGTGGCTCTCTCTATACTGACTGCCAGGTGTAAAGGGTGGAGCTTATAACAATGATTGACAGGGAGCTAAGATGGAGGTGGCTCTCTCTATACTGACTGCCAGGTGTAATGGGCGGAGCTTATAACAATGATTGACAGGGAGCTAAGATGGAGGCGGCTCTCTCTATACTGACTGCTAGGTGTAAAGGGCGGCGCTTATAACAATGATTGACAGGGAGCTAAGATGGAGGCGGCTCTCTCTATACTGACTGCCAGGCGGCTCTCTCTATACTGACTGCCAGGTGTAAAGGGCGGAGCTTATAACAATGATTGACAGGGAGCTAAGATGGAGGTGGCTCTTCTTTATACTGACTGCCAGGTGTAAAAGGCGGAGCTTATAACAATGATTGACAGGGAGCTAAGATGGAGATGGCTCTCTCTATACTGACTGCCAGGTGTAAAGGGCGGAGCTTATAACAATGATTGACAGGGAGCTAAGATGGAGGTGGCTCTCTCTATACTGACTGCCAGGTGTAAAGGGCGGAGCTTATAACAATGATTGACAGGGAGCTAAGATGGAGGTGGCTCTCTCTATACTGACTGCCAGGTGTAAAGGGCGGAGCTTATAACAATGATTGACAGGGAGCTAAGATGGAGGCGGCTCTCTATACTGACTGTCAGGTGTAAAGGGCGGAGCTTATAACAATGATTGACAGGGAGCTAAGATGGAGGCGGCTCTCTCTATACTGACTGCCAGGTGTAAAGGGCGGAGCTTATAACAATGATTGACAGGGAGCTAAGATGGAGGCACCCAGTAGCTGGATAAAGAGGGGTGAATTTTTACATTTAATATTATTTTTCACACCTTAGAAATAAAGTATATGGGTAAACATATTATTAAAAATAGCTATTCCACTTAAAAGAATAATCTGGGTGCTTATAGTGTTCATTCAAGAAGATTTCTTTAAATTATTTTCTGTCCCTCTAGGTATTGATTTCAGCGTCTTAAGCTGTGAGAGTTTGTCTGTCTTTTGGATTGGAGAGGTATGAGAGCTTCACATTGCTTCCTCCTTTTCAAGTGTTCAGATGTCTTAGATAAATTTATTGCAAACTTAAAGGGACACTATAGTCACATGAACAACTTTAGCTTAATGAAGCAGTTTTGGTGTATAGAATATGCCCCTGCAGCCTCACTGCTCAATCCTCTGTCATTTAGAAGTTAAATCCCTTTGTTTATGAACTCTAGTCACACCTCCCTGCATGTGACTTGCACAGCCTTCCATAAACACTTCCTGTAAAGAGAGCCCCATTTAGGCTTTCTTTATT